TATATATATATATATATATATATATATATATATATATATATATATATATATATATATATATATATATATATATATATATATATATATATATATATATATATACGTAATGTACTGAGAATGACATTTTAGCATCACAAAATCCATTAGCTAGGAGTATGTTCAAAAACTAATCCCGGGATTTGATCCACTAAGAAGAATAGTATTTTAGATGCTAAAACTTCACCAATTTTTCGAATTTTAAACGAAAAAATTAATTTATCATGAATTCCTTGAAAAAAAAATATCTGAAGGGAAGAAAATCAAAAACGATGATTGAAACTGGCACGTGTCACTTTTTGATAAAATTAATAATTTTGTTTATGTTGGAATAGGTTTTGTAGTTATCCGAATTGAAAGTAACACAGGCTTATCATGATTTGTTTAGAGTAAAAATTATTATTCTAAGGAGTCATTACCAAGGTATTCTCAATTTGATATTCCGTAATTAGTAAACTGAAATAATCAGCACAGATTTGAAACTATATTATTGGTCTTCTAACCTTCTAAAAGTAATAAATGAGCTTAAGTAATAATATCAATCCTTTAACAGCGAACCAGCATTCGTCACGTTATTATCTCAAAACCAAAATTAATTATTTATTTCCAGCTGTGCATTGGGAAATATCAAGCGAAGGCAATGCACTGATTAGGTGTTTAATTAACAATTACATTTTTTGAATTTTTCGTCTTTATTGTAATGAGGAGCAGACGTGATTGCAGGTGTTAATCACTCATAATTAATGTTTACCAGTTTCACTGGTAAATACCTAACCCAGTTTCGGATTTAATTTCGAAAACTTCAAGCGTTAAATTCCGTTCACATGAAATTATATGTAATATAATCTTATTAACATTTGTCGAAATATAATCATTTTGGATTTCATCCTATATTTCGTTTTTTAGTGCTACCAATGTGCCTTTTTCCACCAGACGATCTTTTTTTCGTCCTTGAATACTACAACTTGAAAATTCTCACTTTTAAATCAGATTCTAATAAATTTCATTTTCTTTTCACAATTACTTTGAGAAATCACACATGCAAAGCTCAACAAGCGAAGGTTCCACATTCATTTGTCACAAATAAGTGCAATTAATTTTCTCTCTTTTTCAATAGAATTTCACCAACTCTCATTTTGACTGTATTTTTTTCTATTTTAATGTTTTTCCAAATGTTCGCATATCATTCCGTAATTTCATCGATTTTCAAATTACTATCTATTTAGCGTCAACAGCTTATTTTTCTCAGTCTTAATCGTTTTCAGTACACAACAAGTCATATCGACTTTCCTTTTCGCTAAAAATAATGTTAAAACATTAGAGGAAATTATGAAAAAAGCTGGCAAAATGAAAGGGTGGAGAATTGTTATCGAAAATAAAGAAAATAAAAATTGTAAAGAAAAATGGGTCGAAAAAGTTGTCGAAAATATGAACGAATTATTAAGTATGCACAATTTATATTACAATCAAAATATGTGCGTGAAATATATTTCAAGAGTGTACCAAAACAGCAGAAGGACAGAGTCACAAACCGTCAACTACTTTCTTCTACCGTACAATTAGTTGTATGTCGCATTTCAACGAAAGTCAACTTTATCTTCTCCGACTGTTCATTCTATCATTTTCGAATTTTCATTTAACTTGAAATAGCTTTTTTCTTCTCTACATCAGTTTTCTATTCTGTAAACAGCCACATTTTATTTTTTATGATCAGTTCATTCTTCAAATCTTTCTTCCAATGTCGCCCTTCTTACTTATCGATTGAGCGATTAATTAAATCAGTTTTAAATGAAGAAAACGGTATTTTGTGGCGATAAACATCAAAAAGTCATGTCAGTTGGCATTTGCATTTGGCTACAGAAAGAAAGTGACAAAAAAAAAATGTAATTGGTAATTGGCGTATAATTCCAAAGTTTTATTCTGCTTTAAACATGTGTCAATCCTTTTCGATTGCAAGTTTTAGGAAATTCTGAGAAACGCCAATTTAGAAAAATTCTACTTTTAATTACATAATTGACATAATATTGCAACATTCAACGAATGATTAGCACCAAAATTGGCCAAGAGTCAGCACCAGTAACTACTGTATTCATTCGTTTTCGGCACCTCATTTTATTCCATTAATTAGTATGCTCACTACAAACTATAACAGAGTCGTGGATGATTTGGTGACGATAATTGTGCCGTATAATTTTGATATACTTTAACATTGATT